AAGTAACTATATATCATTCAAGCCTTACTTCAACGAAATATAATTCCCTAGTAAAATTTAGGAAAAAATGCGATTGTGGTCTGGTATGGCTATAATTGTGTCGTTCAAAACGGAAACAAAGCCGATAATTTTTGAGCAGACACTAATTGATCCCAAAAACGTTAAATGTCCCTCCTGAAGCTACAATGAACAACATTTGCAACTGTAATGAAAATTGTTTACAGCGCAGGAAAATCAGTGACAACTAAGTCGACAAAACTTGAGCATACAAACAAAAGTCCCACAATTCAGGTAATGCCGGAAAAAAAATTCAATTTCATACAAACATAAATGCCGAGGCTTGACCCCAACAGCACTCACGTTACCTATTGGCCAACCGGGAACGAGCCTGGAAATTTTTTAGTTTAAGGAAAATTTCTTACGGGAAGAAGTCTAGTATTTCGCTGACAAACTGTTTTTCCAAAATAATACAAAAATCCTTTTTATAAAGCTTAGGTTTGGTTTAGTGTGTTTTATCTGAGAATACAAAAATGAACATTTTCTTAAATAAAACATCTGACATTGATTGTTAAACATCTCAAAGGTAAGATTCCTATGACATAACTAGACAATTGGAAGAACAAACGGAATGAATAGAAGACGAAATTTCGATTTTTTGATTTATCGGAGAGGAAAAAGGGCAAATCAAATCAAATTAATTTTTTTTGGAATTTAAGAACGTAACAAAATAATATGATTTGAAAATGGGTTTTAAAGAACGGAGAAGTCGGAATGCGATCGCTAAAATCCTAATTTAGCTGGAAAAACGTAGCTTTTTCTACCTCCCGAGCAGCAACAATCTTGCCTTGAGATTTCTATTTCAAGCCAGGAAGGGTTTGATCAACACGAGCAAAAAACGTGGATTGGTGACACAACGCCACAACGAAATTCGGTATGCACTAAGAGATCCGGCTTGCATGCTCTAAAAAGACGTGGAAAGGGAATCCATCAAGAACGCACACGGTGAACGTGGTACTCCAGCATTAGTTGCGGATCTTATGGATCATGGTGTTTGGGACAGGCAGTCAGCGGCGTCGTTCGATATTGGTGCGAATGCATCAGCTAGCAAAAATCGGCACATTTCATTTACTCCACTTGTGACATCTGTGGACGGAGTCTTGGCACCCGAGTTTACCTTCTTTTTGAAGCGAATTGCTAAAAGTTTAAGTGCAAAGTGGGACCGGACCGACTTTGCCAGATTATGTGTTGGGTTTGGATTTCTTTTGCCGTCATGAGAGCAACCAACATATGCATGCACATGGACTAACTGGAGGTCGCAGGGACTAGAGGATGGCAACACCATCGGCATGGCAGTTTTTTAGTTGGAGGAACACAGAGATATAAAAAAACTCTGGTTCAAAAGTCAAAAGACAAGAAAACGCTCGGTTGCTTAACAGAGTGAGTACTGGAATCAAAAACTACTCATGATTAAAAATTTTGTGAAAAAAAATTTCTGAAGCAATTTAAAACTACAAAAAAATTTGCAGGGATACAAAATCAAAAACTTCCAAAACTCAGCGAAAAATCATTAGTTTTCTTTCTAAATCAAAAAATTAGTTCTGCCTCAAGCGATTCTTTCTGAAAATTAACGCTTGCAAAAAAGTGTACTTTGTCAATACTCTAGTTCAAACATAATTTTTCAAAACAAACGGAGCCAAAATGATCCTAAATATTTTGTTTCAACTTAATTTGTTTTACAGATTTCATTTTTAAAATAGTTTTATAAAAGTTTTCTTGTTTTAAACATTTTTCGTGTGTGCAGCTCAACGCTGTTAGTTTTTTCAGCATCCAAAACAATTACTCTACTCCATCGTAATTAGTTATTTTTTCAAAGAAAAACGAAACTAAGAACTGGTGGTGATGAATCAGGTGAGCAAGTCTGCTAATTGGAATTGTTATTGTGACAATTGTTAAAATTTTCTTCTAGATGCGCAGTATTAGGCTAAATTTTTCCTCGAGATTTTTTCTCACAATGGAATAGTTTTTAAAATTTTTCGAGAGACAAAACGTTTTTTGAGAAATTTTCTTCAAGTTGTATAACTAATATCAGGAAAAATCATGCAAGCAAATAATTAAAATTAAGAGTTTCAAGTGAATTTGTCTGTTACTAAACTTGCTCTACGATAGTGAAACTTTATATGTAGGTGCATATGAACAAGGAACGTCATGGACCAAAAAATGTGATTTTCATACATATTTTGCAGACAGGCAAAAAATTTGAATTCGGCACAAACGACATTGCTTTTCGGCAACTTGGAAATTGATTGTTAGATGTAAGGAACTGCTTGTTTTTTTATCCACTAAAATTAAATTTTACTTCAACTTGAAGACCGCTAAAATTACCGCTAAAATTGAGAGGTTATTGAAGCTTAAATAGGCACTGAAAAAAAAGCAGTTTAACTATTTTCTAGTAATTGCTTTTTGCATTCAAACAGTCTATTATGAAGATTTTAATCTTCTTCCGGGCAAAAGCGGTCGTTACTCAGCTTTCCATCAAATTTCTTTAAGCAATCTTTCTCGTAAAATTAATTAGTGGGTCTTAAATGTCTGTCTATACAGATAGCTTGCACTATATTGATTGAATTTTTCATATATAGCAGCTTTCAGCTAAAAAAGGATTAATATAAAGAATAAGACCACTTATTGACGAGGGAAAGGACCAACATACGAGCTGTACAGCTCACCACGGCGAACCGCTGTTGTGCCCCTGCTTAAGTACTACATGCATTTTTTTGGTTATTTTTCTGTGCTGGGTAATGTTGCCTCATCCTCAAGCAACGAGCACGGATCGTAGTGGGCCTCGAACATCCGAGCTTTCGATTGAGAGTCGGAGACGTAACCACTTCACCGCCGCTCCTTTTTGCAGCTTTCAGCTGAAGAAGGATTACGCCGCCGACATAAGTTCAACTAATCAAAGATTTTGAAAACAATTTTATGCAAAACAAGGATTTGTAAAACAATTTATAAAAAAAATGAAGTCAAAAGCAAAAAAAAACACATATTCAGGCGCCTGCAAAAATAGAAATAGCCGCAAATGGGACCTAGTTGACATCCTCCCCCGAAAGCCATTAGGGGGGGGGGGGTGGGATGTTAACTTGGTTCTAAGTTGGAATTTTCAGCCAATCAGAATTGAGCATTTTACATGCAGCGCTTAGTAAATTTAATTTAAATCAAGCTCTGGGATGGAGGATCTTAACTTGGTATTTTTTTAGGGGGGGGGATGTGAACTTGATACCGCAAATGTTCTCTGATAGCAGGAACATTCTCTCACAATTGAACAAAAAAATCGAAGACAGCTCTCATTTTGATAATCAGAACAATCTATTAGTCGGAGTGAAAACAATCCTTTATCAATGCTGCATGATGTCTTTTGAGCATCTAATTACTTGGCCAGTTCAAAGACTACAGAAATTGTGTTTTAACGTTTTTTTGTTCTTGTTCCGACTTTCGATCGAAAAAAAAACGGAATATTTGTGCTCGGGTAGGATTTTTTCAGACAAATTTTGACTTTTCAACTAGACATTTTTGACGGTTTTTTAAATTTTAATCATTCAAAAGGTATTCTTGTCCTGAGCTTAAATTTGAAAAGATATTTTACTTGTGATCATTTTTCGTTAAGTTATGCGGGTTTCAAAATTGCCATTTTGGCCAGGTGCTAGGGATTTTAGCAGGCCAATCTTTTAGCAGACTTAACTTAATTAGCAAGTGAGAAAGCTAGCTTCAAACGTAGCGTTGGCGATTAGCGACCGCTTGCTCTGTTGTGCTTGCATTTAGCACGACACGAGTGTTATTAGGCGCGTAAATCTTTCTTTTGCCGCTAATTTTAAACTGTCGTGTTTTTAAAGTTGACAGTTTTGTTGACAAATCGTGAGATAAATGTCCTACCTGGGGAAGCTTAACCCAAGACTGAGCGTCATTTTAAGTCTGTCAATCAATGATGCATCACTTTATTACGCTGGTGTACTATAAGACTGAATTTTCACTTTTTATACTATAAAAAAATTTATTGTTTTATTACATTTACTTTTTTCATGTTAAAAGGAGTCTTTCTCGACTTTCTCAAGGGCAATTCAATTTACCAAAAATTGTAGCAGTTCTATTTGAAGCAAAAAGATATTAAAAACTGAATTGTCTGAAAGGTTGATATATTACAATAGAAGGTAGGTTCAATTTCCATATCTGGATCGCTTTATGTTACGCGTCGCACATTTACAAAAATTTTTAAAGCCAAATTTTCAGAAATGTGAAATTTTGAATAGCATTTCATTTGGCAGAGTAATGAATTTATTCAGAAAAATTATCTTAGTCTTAGTACAAGTGATTGAAAATTAAATGACTATATTATAGTTCTGAAATTTAATAAACACAGCATACTCAAAACTACCACCTATTGTAACATATCACAGCTGAAAGTTGTGCCTCTTCAAATTGATACTTTTTCAAATTTGATTTTGATTACAGATGGCGTTTAAAAAATTGCAACACTTCTTCAAAATGCTCCCTGTCTACTTTGCATGGCCACATTTTGGTGTTATGACCAAACAGCTTTCATCAAGAGTAGAGGCAGTAGTCATGAAAAGCAAGAACCAAAAACAACTCCCAAGTTCGCTTATTGGTGGGGGGACGGACTTCTTGGTTTAATGCAGATTTCATGATCGTAGAATCAGTACAATGCATCTTGCCACTAATACTGATATTTAACACCCATATGCTTAAATTGTGCGTGATACGCATGGTATGATACGCCCCAAGATAAGAAACGGTAAAATTACAGTAAACATTGAATGTATTTTTTTTCTCAAAATGAGACAAAAAAAAACAGGCAAAAAGCGGCAAAATTAAGTAAAAACGAGAATGAACAAGACTGAATTTTCCTTCAACATCCTTATCAAATTGAAAAACAAGAACTCGAAGTCTATCAGTCCGCTCTAACTCTTTCTTTCGAAACCAACCACTATGCTTTATGGTTTGTAGACGCAAGTGAGACGAGGTCGGTTCTTGTCTTTCTTCATCTGTTTCTTAGTCTTAATCGACAACTCCTTCTTGGTAAGAGCTCGCCTCTTTGCTCGGGTCAGTTTCGGTCTCAGATCCAATGGAATCAGTTTTTTTCCGGCATACTGTTGCGCCACAGCTCGCTTCTGCTTGTCAGTCATAATCGTCAAAATCCTGGCGATCTGTTTTCGGACAGTCTTGATCTTGGCCAACTTGCTCTGGACTCCGCCGGTTACTTGACTCGTTCTCAACTGTTGCAATTCTTCTTTCAGATTGTCCAGCTCTGTTTTGAGCTCAGTTTTGCCCAGGGCACGCATGCCGACTGTGGTAAGTTTCTTTTGAGACATCTCAAAGACCTGAAAAATGAATGCAATGCAAGCTTAGGCAAATGCATTATTGAATACGAATTTTGCTCAAAAAATTACATATTACACGCTGAATTTACCTTCTAACGCTGATTTTTTTGCACATTATTTCTTTTTGAATAACTTCTGAAAAATTTTACAGTATTTTTGTTTTAAGAAAATCATTATTTTAACTTATAATTTAATGCAGGACAAACAACTATATCAACGAAAAGAAAAAAAAAAGAAGTTTTTCATAATGTATTTGGAATTGGGTCTTTATAGTCACTGTTGTCATTTGATCTTAGCGGAGGACTTTTCGGTCTGATATCTTCAATTCTATCACTGCACCCTGTCAAATGACCATTTGGTTCTCTGTTAAACCAACTGGCATATTTCACAGCATCAAAATTAGATCCAGTTACATTTGGACCAATAGTCAACCATCCTGGTCTGATATCTTTATCTGTTCCAAATAAATGCAAACGCCTTCTTCCAAGACAAAAATGCTGGATTATTTTGAAAATCTCTTCTGGTTTGTCGTGACTCGCAAACTCTGCTTCCTCCGATAGAATCAAGTCCAGATCAGTATTAGCATGTATGAAATCTCCGTCTTGGTTTCTCTTTACAGTTCCTCGAATACCTACTAGACAATGTTCTTTCGTTCTGTGGAATAGGGTACCTGGTTCATACCTTCTTGGGGTATCTCGATTTTTGGAATTAGTTTTAATCCAACAAATATCCTCACATCTACGATAGTTCCAACTATGAATGCATTCTCTGCAATCGTCGACGTTTTCCGAAGTTCCACACCACATGAAAATGAAACCTCGATTAGGAGCTACTGCTTCAATATCCAAGTGTGATAGCTCATCGAACGACCAGTGTTTTAATTTAGGATCGGAGCTTTCTGGACTAAATCCGTTGACTAGAGGTGCCGAAATCATTATGACGTCAAATTGGTTTTTAAGTCTTTTTAAGTTAAACTTTTCCAAATCACAATGCAAATACATTGGAGGCGTGTTAGTTTGATGGACTAATTCGTCTTTAAGATACATTAATTCTCGCAACTTTGGGTACTCTTTAAAACGGTTTTCATAGCCACTATCATGTACGAAATTCTGAGGGCGTAAATCGGAGTCGACGTAATGCTGTGAGTAGTCATTATTCGGCTTCAAGGAGGGGTTAAACTTTCTTCTTCTAGAAGATTCGTCATCGTCATCTGAATCATCTGTTTTCTCTGCAGTCGAATTCAAATCTGTACTTTCTGATGTTTCATTCAGATTGCCCTTTTCCGATTTTGTTCCCGAAGTCAGCTCATTTTTGTTCTCGAACTTCAAACTTGGAAACTGCCAACTATTTGATTTTTCTAAAAATTCGTCAACGACATCTCGCACATTTCTTTCTTGTCCAGGGAAAGGAGAGTTACACATAGCTAATGCAGTAGCGTAGTTATCGACATCAAACTCTTTAGTCAAAGCGTTTCGTCTAACAGCCGAGCGTCTTTTCAGTTCGTTTAGGAAGTCCGGAACATCAAGAACTAAAGGATCGTCTCTGCTTCCTGTGTCTGAGCGGTAATTTGGAACAGTATTTATGTCAACAGCTCGTTCACGCCTGTCGTAGTGATATCTCCTATTATGCGGGGACCTTGAACGACTCCTGTTGAACCTCCGCGTATCGTAACCTCCACGATATTCGCCTCTGAAAAAGCGACCGCGGAAACCGCCGAAGCGCCCACCTCTCGGAAAGTAGGGGCGAGTGCCTCGATACCCCCCACCGTATGGTCTTGGTGGTCTGTCCCCATGGTAAGAATGGTACCCACGATGGTATCTATCACGTGACGAATAGGGACTTCTAGATCTGTCGTCTCCACGTGGTTTTGAATAATGATCACGGTAATCACTTCTTTCAGGGCGGTCGTGATACTCCGGCATTTTAAGAAACCAGTCTCAAAGCTTCATTTTTTGAAACTTATATATTCCGCATCTGAAATGTCAAATAATCTTCAATGATCTTATTTCGCTCCAGAAAAGCTTTCTCAGTTTTAAATAGGAAACTAACACGATCTAGAGAATAATAAAATAAAAGTTCATGAAATCTCGAAATTCAAATTTGAAATTAGAAAACCAATAGTAAAAGCAAAGCAGAAGAAATCAAAAAACAATTTTTAACACAATACAACAAAAACTTTCAAGTCAAACATTTGAACACGCTCCGTATGTGAAATCATACAGATGTTCTCGTAGCTCAAATTGAAACCACTTCGCACATTTTAGGGCGAACTCATACTTGACTAAGCATACGAATTTTGGCTGGTCGAGCATTTCGGCTCCATAACGCGCCAGATAATTTTTGGCGACCATCGACGAGATCTGAGCAAAGATATTAGAGAGAACACAATTTTCTGGCTCTTCGTGGATAGCGTAAAATATGGCGATGAGTCGTTCTAAGACGAAAGGCTTTGGTCCAGTCACGTGACACATTTTGTTGACAGTAGGCTTGACAGTTGTCGGTTTCTTCTGTCGCTGCTTGACGAAAAACCTGCAAAAACAACAATTTACAACAAATAACTCCCTTTACTGTATTTATACTCAGTTCTAACTATTGACCAATATTATATTCAGTTCTAACTATTGACCAATAATAAGTTTGCCAATACAAACCATTTTTAGCGCTGCTATGTCAATGACGCTTTTATAAATTCAAAAGTGATGAATGGGCCAAAACAATTTCGTTGAACACATCTATAGGACTACGAAATTCTTCTTGAATTCAAAACTTTGCTGGCTATGTTTTCGTATCAGTTCAGGAAGTCATTTTATAAAATTTTAATTTATTCACCTGGCGTCACTGGAGGGCGGATTGTAACTTGCAAGATACGCTGCAACAATGACCACATTGCTGTCATAGGGTAGCAGCTCGTCTGCCATTTTGTCACGTGGGTATGGGTCCAAACACGTCAATCTAGTTTGCCCATATCCTCCAATTTCATTAGTCTTTGTCACAATACTCGGTTCAAACAAAGCCCACAACCTTCTGAAATCTTGAGGCGAGCATGATCCTTCAACTGCTGGCTTCATAAATAAATCCAGGTTTTTGTGAATCAGTTTCCGCATAACAAATAGATCCGGGTTGTTCATGTGAACTATTCCGACAATTGACCCAACGAAGTAACTCAGAGAAGTTGGGTCGTACTTAAAGTTTGTGAAATCCTTCATAATAATCGCTTTGCACTCAGTTTCAGAATACATATCTAGCTGTATGTGATATGCTAGACTCGTTTGTGGATCGGAAAAATCGTCCGGATGGTATCTGCTTATTATCAAAATCGACACCTTTTGATTCGTTTTGTCCGGTAAGCTCAGAAGTTCGTTAGAACTCTCTTCTGTTGAAGAAATTTGTTAGGTCTTGCCTCCCAAAGAGTTTATGTTAATTTATTCTTAAGTTCAACAGCTTTGTTTAGTTTTCTTTTAAAAATATGAAAAATCTTGCGCGATAAAACTATCAGGGAACATCTTCCTGAATAGAATCCATCAAGAGTAAAATCGTTTACAGCGAAATCTCGGAGTTTTACTGCAACTTTAACCAATTAAGGAAAACTTGCGTAAGAATAAATATCTGCGATTAACAGTTCACAACCAAGTTTTCGTATTAATTGAAAATTTGTTCAGATAAGACTTCCTACAAAATTTCTATATACACATTTTGTAATCATAGAATGGACTATTGTTCCTTTTGAAATATGATCTTAGTCAATCATTCGCATGCATTGAGCTTGCAAAAAATTTTGTACATTGCCATATTTTTTTTTGAATGTTGGCATTTAATTTTGTATTTTTATTTCTAACCTCTTCATAATTTTTATCTCACCAATTTTTAAGAAAAAAGAAATATTTGCTAAAATTCACATTTTGCAAAGAGGCAAACTGAGCTTTAAGCCACTTGTGATGCATCAATAAACACAAAACCACTGCATGAAGCTCACGAAAAAGAGAACTCCGAAGGATAACAATATTGAAGAAAGAACTAGAATCAAATCAACAACACTTAGAAATAGAATGAAAACTACTTATAGCACAAGAAAAAACAAAACCCGTGATGTGGCAACAAAGCCGACAAAACATAAGCAGACAAACCAAAATCCTACAATTCAATTTTGTATATATCACTCTATACTTTACATAGCGCGTGGAGTATAATTTTTACAAAAACAAGGTCAAAGAAATTTGTTCAGTTTTTTTTGAAAGTTTCATCATTTATTTATTTTGAATTAATCCATAAAAATTAAACGCAGTCGGAACAATAAGGGCTTTGTCCTGATACGGGCAGCCTTGTTACCATTTTTTAGTGAATATAACTTTGCTCTGTTTATGTCTGAGAGCCTAAGAACATGTCCTGATTGGTATTCAGAAATCAGCCCCAACTAAACCTATCTTGCGAAGTAAAAACTCTTACTACATATATGTTTCTGACCGATATAAAATGCATCAACTTTTTTAGCTGTAGATCTATTATTATGTACCAAATCTTTCCTTTTATTGTAGAACACCAGTGTCATTTCACCCTCTAAGAACCAGTTATTTTTAAAATACGCAGGAAGGAACGCTTTCACAAGAACAAACACGAACCAAAAAAGTGAAGTTATCAGCATGAGCAGTTACTGCATCTTCAGAAAAAAGCTGAAAATTTCCAGAATTAAAAGAAACTTTTATTATTGAACAATTTTCTCCTTTTATAGTGTCTTAGTAGATAATACCAAAGGCACACATTCTTTTCCTTGACTTCAAAAAAACTTTATAGCAACTAGTTTTACCCTTCATAATTTTTACGATAAAAACAGTCTCCCTGTCTGAAAGAATGCGGGTCCTAATCAGTCACCAGAAAAGTGGACAGCGTTTGAACACTATAGCAAGCTTCCACACAAAATTTGTCTTTATCGAAATAAATTTGAAGAATAAACCGCATATCAATTCAAATTGTGCTATATCAAAACGAAGCTAGAGAAAAGAAAAAAGCCCGAACCTAAATTTCAATAAATAGCTTCAATGCACAACCAACACAATTGTAGAAGAAGAAGAAGAATTAAATGCAAAAATACAGAAAATGAAGAAACACATTTTTAATAGTCATCATTGAATTTATTTGACATTTTGTATAACATATCTGAAGAGGATAGACCAAGGGCATAATAATTGCCCGCTTGATGTCTACCCTGGTAGTAGTAGGAAACGAAAAGTATAATAACTATAAATAAAAAGTATTTAAATAATAAAAATGAAAATTTTTCAATTTTTTTCCACTCCTTTCGAAAACATTTTTTTTCGAGAATTTATTAGAGGATCCTGCAGCTTAGCTTAGTGAGCATCAGTTAAAACTAAGGATCGTAATAAAAATTTGAATTTTTTTTTCTCTAAGTAATTTTGGAAATTTCATTTTTTCAAAAAATGCGATTATCTCGAAAACTACAAGGATTTGGAGCTTCATATTTTCAGCATGGATTCGCAGCCCATAATTGAAGTCTGATACAGGTTAACCAAAGGGTAAAATTTTTGCTTAATAAAAATATGGTACTATTGATTAGACATTCTGTGATTATTTATCGAAAATAAAATTTGTTAACTCATTATTTCCTAAAATGTATAAATACTTTAACTTGTGAGCTACCGTAAGCACCTGGCTTGCATTTAGAGACTGCGAATTAATTGGTATAATTCCGTTTTCCTGAAAAATATTAAAAAGTTTGGTTCCCCGTTTAGTTAAAGAGTGGTTTTCTATTTGGGATTTTGGCTTACATATTTTCAGTAAATTCTTTTCCGATCGTCTGGTTCTTTTAATAGAATTATCAAAAGTAAAAAGCGAGTTGAGATAATTTTCTGAATGCAGGTTCGATAGTGACCTTAATAGAAACTTGAAACACTCATAAATATACAATTCATGAACTGTAAGTATTTTGTGCTTTACAAATATATCTGACACGCTTTCGCAATTGTTTCGAAAAGAAATGAGTCGGATAATTTTTTTCTGTAATTCAAAAAGCGGAAGTAATGCATTATAGGGGGGACTCAACCAACCGACACCTGAGGCGATGGGGCCCAATAAGCGCAAAAGAAGTTCTGAATTTTTGTCCGATTTTAATTTAATCGGCAGGTTTTGTTCTTTTCTCTGCTTCAGCTGCAGTAAAAACCCAATACCACTTTTTGCTTCTCTTTTCCATTTCAGAGTTGAATCTTTTTACCAAGCCTGCTTCTTGTCCATTTTCCACTACCAATCACTCTACCAACAGTCACCTTTATGGAAACCAGCGATGGAAAATGGTTATGGATATTGTGAGCAGATGGACACTACGAAAATTAACCGTTGTTATTTCTTCTGAAAAAACTCGCAACACCTTCCTTATTAACTGTCAGAAAGAAAACCCAACTAACCCTATCTTACGACAAATAAACTCTCCCTACATTGGCGACTAAGACAAGAAAAAGCCGAAAAGATCCATGAAAAACATGAATGGATTAACGACTACACTGTCACATGAATTCCTTGGAACTCGCCATCGACAAACGTTGCCTACCTGGATCTCTCAGAACACTTCTGACAAAATGAAGAAATTTCATACTCTTCGGATGCAACTAGAGCGCGCACCAACTGACAGTCTTACGTCACGTATCATCGCCCTGGAAAACGCGATTCTTCACGCATCTGCTCTCGACCTGTCTTCCTACGAAACCAATCTCGCCAGCAGCCTGCTTTACAAATATATGAAAGTGAAAAAACCTACACCCACTCTTCCCGGCGACACAAACGGTGAAAACAAAGCCGATACACCTGAAGGTCAAGCTGAACTCTTAAAATAACTTCTTCAGCAGTGTCTTCTCAACGGATGTCACAAAGGTCCGTGATCAATATCGCAAGATTCTCAATAATCGATGATTTCAATTGCTGGCTGTGCTGCTAGTTCAGAAGACATTCTGCAGTCTCGATGTTTCGAAATCAAGAGGTCCAGACAACATCCCTCATGGCTTGTTCCGAAATGTCCGAGAAATTTCAAAAACCAATATCCTCACTCGTCTACAAAATCAAACAATATGAAATCACCCGACTACCTGGAAAATAGCAAAAAACGAACCTTTCTGCAATATAATGCAATTGGCGATATAATGCAAAGGAGATAGAAAGTTAAAAAGAAACTACTAGCCAATTGCGCTTTACCAAAGGTGCTTGAGTGCTGTATGTTCAACGCATTATATCCACACGTGGTTCCTTCCAACTTCACATCAAAAACAATGCGGCTTCCGCGCGAAAAGGTCGGCTCCACAGCAGTTGCTAAGCTACCTGGACACAATTTACCGAGGAATAAACTACCCTAAGGAAACAACATTGATATTCTGTACTGGGATTTTAGCTAGGCTTACGACAAGATAAACAACATTCTCCTCATCGAAAATCTAACACCAATCGGAGTTACTTGAAAGCTACAGATACTGCTCAAGTCGTATCTCAGTAAGAGAACAGAGTTTGTAGTTATAGATATCTGCAGTTCGAAGTAGCCATAAGTTACCAGTGGCGTGACAAGGATCCATCTTGGGGCCCTTGTTTTTCCTTTCCTACGCAATAGACCTCACTGATGGCATAACTACAACGTTTCAATTCGCTGATGACTCAAAGATATGTTCTATTTCATATCCTTGACCTTATTACTTGCCTAACGACGCCGAATCTCTCTACAATTAGGCGACGCTGAACAAACTCCCTTACAATCTAATTCAATTTTCCAGACAAACGAATTTAACCCCATTACTTCAAATCACCATATTATCTGAAGATAAAGACCTTTATGCGACAATAAATAACAACTTTTCATGGAATCCTCTCATAACGGACAAGTGCGCCAAGGCAAACAACATTTTTGAGCTGCTCATAAGAAATATTTCCCTACTTCCAATGCCACAGAAACTCATTTGTCAAAAAAAACTTGCGCCTGTGTTTAACTACTCATCGACATTATGGTGTGCGTCCAAAAGAGATAAGGTATTGGAAAAAATCAGAAGCGCTGCACTAAGTGGATCCTAAACTACCCTGAACAATGCTATCATTACGGGCTCATTAAAATCAACAGCCTACCTCTCTCTCCACATCTTCAAATCGTAGACCTAACGCTCGCTAGTATTATTACCGATCAGTACGATTTTGACTGGAGCGATTTTCTGAAATAAGACGCATCTCTTTCGCGTCGCAGGAATAGAATCACGTTCAAATTACCAACAATTCGCCTAGAAATCAAGCGAAATAACGTCTGGTACCGAACACCCGGCCTGTCAAACGTCCTTCCTGAAGAAATTGATTTTCCACTCACTCGGACTGAAGAAGCGCTTCCTTGTAATATTTTGAGCCTACTGTCATGGGTAACACCATCTGCTACTATCATGATGCAGCAATTGCCCTGAACAACCACCAAGAGTTTCTGCACTGTTTTTTCAATACCGGGATAACTCCCTTCGTGCTAACACCATAATTTGAAAAATTAACAAAAAATAAAAACAAAGAGCGGTCCTCTGCATCTAAAGCTGCTCCTGAAAATGAACATCATTTATCTCAAACAAAAATCTCTGGAGCAAACATATATGGCTGGTTGGATGGCTGAATGGATAGTGGCCTGGATGTATCGATGGATGACTGATGTATGGATCAATGGAGGGAGGGCTGCATGAATGGACGAATCGATGGTTGCCTGACAGGAATAATGGACGGATGACTGGATATCTTAAAGGCTACAAGGAGGGATGGCTGTATCAATTGCTGGATGGAACGATGAAAAGATGGCTGGACGGAAAGATGGATGGAAATTTGATTGAATTGATGGTTGGATGCATGGATAGACGATGGGTTGCTGAAGGACGGACTATTTGGCTGGTTGGATTGATCGATATCTGAATGGCTGGATAGATAGATGCATGGCTGGTTGCATGGATGGAAGATGGGTGGCTAGATGAAAACATGGCTGGATGCAATTCTGGTTGCATGGGTACATAATAATGCCATGATGTGTGGCTGGTTGGATTGTTGACGATGGATAAAAGGATGAATGGTTTCAGGGCTGGCTGAAAAGATGGATGTCTTGAGGACATGGATGGATGGAAAGCAGGCTGATTGGATGATGAGCGAATAATAGCTATATGGATTTCTGGTTGAATGGTTGGATGATGTATCGCTAGATAGATGACTTGATGTACGGAAAGATGCCTGGATGAATGGCTGATTGTGTGCAAGAAATGAATGGATGATGGTTTGATGGACGGATGACTGGATATCTTAAAGGCTACAATGAGGGATGGCTGTATCAATTGCTGGATGGAACGATGAAAAGATGGCTGGACGGAAAGATGGATGGAAATTTGATTGAATTGATGGTTGGATGCATGGATAGACGATGGGTTGCTGAAGGACGGACTATTTGGCTGGTTGGATTGATCGATATCTGAATGGCTGGATAGATAGATGCATGGCTGGTTGCATGGATGGAAGATGGGTGGCTAGATGAAAACATGGCTGGATGCAATTCTGGTTGCATGGGTACATAATAATGCCATGATGTGTGGCTGGTTGGATTGTTGACGATGGATAAAAGGATGAATGGTTTCAGGGCTGGCTGAAAAGATGGATGTCTTGAGGACATGGATGGATGGAAAGCAGGCTGATTGGATGATGAGCGAATAATGGCTATATGGATTTCTGGTTGAATGGTTGGATGATGTATCGCTAGATAGATGACTTGATGTACGGAAAGATGCCTGGATGAATGGCTGATTGTGTGCAAGAAATGAATGGATGATGGTTTGATGGATGGATGATTGGATAGACGGCTGGATGGATAAATGGATGGGTAGATGGCTAGATTAATGAGAGTCTGGGTAACTGAACAGATGGATGGCTGAATAGATAATGGAGGGATAGACGATGGGTGGCTAGATGGATACATTGCTGGACGGCTTGTTAGTCGGGTGAATGAATCTGGACAGCGTAATGTACGGGTGGCTGGGTGGATAAATGGCAGACTGACTATATATCTGGCTGCAAGGATAGGTTGCCGGAGGGGTGGATAGATAACTTGAAGGAGGTTGGTTCGATTTATGGACAACGGATGGTTTAATGGAAAGGTTGGATAGATGATCGATGGCTAGAAAGAAGAAGGGGCGATTAAATGGTTGTTTAGATGGTTAAATGGACAGATTGCTTGAACGATAGATGGGTACAAAGCTCGATGAATTGATGATTGATTAGATGGTTCACTGGACCCAAACCTGCCTTGATTTTGCCCTGTCCTGCCCTGCCATTCCCCTCGTTGCCCAACCGTAAGCAGCCATCCAATGCCTTGCATTCCACTGCTTTGCCCCTTTTGCTGAGCCCTACATTGCGCTGCCTTACCCGGGCTTGCACCTCCTCACCCTGCCTTGCCCCTTATCGCCCTCCTCCAACTGACTTTGACCTGCCCTTGACCTGCCCTGCCCTACCCGGTTCTGCTCAGCCCAACCCGGCCCCTCCTCGACCTGCCCTGCTTTGCACTGCCCTACCCAGGCCTTCCCCCTCCTCGCCGGGACATGCGCTCACCTATCCTGCCTTGCCCATCATTTCCCTGCGCTGCCTGGCCCATCATTGCCCTGCTCTGCCTTTCATCGCCCTGCCTTGTACCGCCCTACCTTGTCTCGCCTCGACCTGCCCTGCCTTGCTCTGCCCTACCCGCATTGCGCTGAAAAGTTTCTTAAGCATTGCAATATACGATACAGCTTAAGCGTGCTAAACTTCCTGCCTTTCTGAAAACTTAAACATAGGACATATGGTATAGCTTAAACATGGAAAAATAGGCAGACGCATTCAAATATATAATAGATAGAAATTGCATCAACTATATACCATTTAACCTGTATGCACCCTTATTATGTCCTTTTTAACTGTTAACATAATTCTCCATTTGGTCTTTTTTAACATTTCGTCCAAAAACAAGAAAAAGCAGAAAAGATCCGTCGTATCAGAACCAAACATGCACAGCAAATGAGTGAAATAACTGGGAGTTATCATACTACTTTTAATAAAAATCCCGGAATCGAGCCTAATTTAAGGTATCCAATAGCTGGGATCTTTTTAGGCCAAAATGAGTTTTTTTTTTAAAGAGGTCAATTAAAATGGGCCCATCCGTCATGCGACAGAACGTGCACAGGTTGGATAGGGCCGTACCAACGCTATATAAATCCATCGGCAAAATTTTATGAACAAATCAAGTCGATTTTAATGCATCCAGAGAATTGTCTATTAAAAACTACCCTCCTCGATTAGAGCACAGATAGAATTGTCTATGTTGGATGTATTTTTAAGATTTTTGCACCCCTAAGGCAGAGTATTGCACTCCTCAGAAGTGCAAAACTTATTTTTGTTCTTATTTATTGTGTACGAGTATGATTCGTTCCGTTTTTCGCTTAGTTTTTCTGCTAGCTTCTGGACGGTTTTTGTAGAACCTGGTGCTGCTCTTTCGGTACACGCAAAAATTAGCGGAACAAAGCTGCTGTGTTCGTCATCCAGAACTCTTTGTTGGTATTTTAATGTTCTGACACTCTCATGATATTTGTAGGCGTCAGATATAGTTTTAGGGCAGGATTTAGCGTGGGGGTTGAAAATTTTTACATCGAAAAAGGTTCGACTGAATCGGCCTCCCCAGAGTCCATTTGCCTTGATGTCAAGTCGAGCGTCATCTTCAGTTTTGTTGTGAAAGCTTTGGTCGTCTAACGATTGAAGTTTCGGCTCTATTTCAACATCATGGCATCCTTCGTCCAGGAGTGCCGCAAAGGTATCGCGAATTTCATCATGTCTTAGGTGAGTGTATCCACCTTTGGGACAGTGTAGAGAGTGGGTCAGTGTGAACGGTTGTCCACATGGGCATGTATGTGGAGTGTTTGGTGGTTCCCATCCATATCTCAGATGCAATCCATCTTTAAACTCTGATTTGTTGAGGAAAAAATTGTATTTTTTGGGGGTACCACCCATAGCCAATTCGATGCTCTTTTCTGTGATGCTAGATTTATTGTCAGTTTTTTTCTGATGAGCAATTTCCCTCTATTTTAGCCTTTTTTGAGAGTACGAGGTTCTGTCTCTCAGTTTTGATGTTTCTATTTATTAGAGTTTGTTCCGTTTCAACTATTTCTGGATCACTGTTTTCAAACGGATCACAAATGGTCGTGACCACTCATTTGTTGAGGGAAAATGGCTCGTGACCACTCGTGGCCAAAATGAGTTGTAGGAGCAAAAAATTGAAGCAAATAAGCCGGCAGTACCACAACGGAAACTATGAAAGCACAAAATTCACCAAAAAAAGTATCACAGTGACCGAGGTTACAGTCAGGAGTCTTTTCATCACATTATCCAGTCGAAAACCTCAGAATTTTCTAGATATGGAAGAGTAAAGTATAAAGTGGATAGAAATAAAGAGAGTCAGATGGTTGGGAATCAAGCCAACCAGATTGAGATGAGAAATTCGGTGGCACTAAAATTAGCGACTTGGTTAGGAAAAAAGAGGGTTGGGTTTATCGCATGAGTTTTTGCTAGAGTAAACAAGCTACCAATTAGGCATTGTTGGTGATGATTGGAAAATCAATAAATTTATTATAGGACCATATGATGAAGGACAGTTGCTGTACTTTTTGCGACCTTGATAAGTTCAACTTCTGATTGTACTTGTTTTCTTAAATTAACTAGTCAGGCTTAGCACGAAGGTTAATTAAAATTAACTGAGATATTGACGTGCAAGCCCGCAATCATATGATTGTAGGGAACTATCACTACCATTTTGCAACTAGTAATTTAAAAAGTAAAACGAGGTAATGAAATGAGGCGAGACCCAGCATAGCATCGCAATGATCTACAATGAGAAGTATTTTATGTTGGGACTTCAGAGTAGAATATATTTCCGCCATCGATAATTTGCAAGACACGGGTGAATTGAGTTCACAGTGAACATCCTGCAACAGCTCTTTGAAGGAATTGAATGAAACACAGTCTCTGTAGATAAAAGTAAAATTTGGTTGTTCAAGTGTGGTAGTAAATTTGTCCACGATAAATGATTTCCCGGAAGACGGCCTTCCACTTATCCAAATAGTATCCGGCAAACCCTTGTTTGACAATTTGACGAGTTCGTTCAATTGCTGCGCCCGAAAATTCATTATCTAGAATAACTTAGAATTAGAATTTTTTCAAGAACCAGGTTACAGTCAGGAGTCCCTTCATCACGTATTCCAGTCAAAATCCTTGGAATTTTCTAGATATGGAAGTGATGATGATAAAGGAGATGACAAGTGTTGATGTCGATACAAATAAAATCGATACGGGTTACGTTTCTTCAATAAGAACACGCAACTCGACACGAGAAAATATAATATACAAGTGTTACAAAGAAAAAATTTCGTCGAAAGTTATTTTGTCATTTATTGTTCCGTGTACGCAAGCAGCGTTCGCAATCTGTATTGCCAGGGAGATTCTTTGTTTTTAAAAGCTGCCTGCTCTGTGTTCCTCAGTGCATATTCTTATGTTCTTACAAAGCTTGCTCAATGTAACATTCGCCCAAATACTACACATTGGGGGAGCGTAGAAAAAGTACCTATGGACGACTGGCCGGCGTCAGTTACCTAAATTCTACTCAATTTTCACCGTCTCGACCTAGCCAGCTGATTTTCTGGTCTGTCTAGGGCTAAGTAAAACCCTAGCTGGGTCTCGGATCCTCAGACTTGTAACATTCGACCAGAATGGACAAAAATTCAGATGCAGCAATTTCGAGTTTTTAGCAGCGAACCTTCCTAATTGGCGGTTTTGAAGGAATAAGAGCGTTATTCGGACGATTGGACAAATCGTGAAGGCTGAAGGATTCGGAAATTCCTAAATTTTAAAAATTCGAATTGATGACGTAATAGTTCTAAGAAACGTCAAAAACAGCCATTTTGGAGAAAAACCAAAATATAGACACAACGACAACAACAGTAGTTGCGACGATAACAACGAAAAAAAACTTAGAATCCGAATTAGAGAAGAGCAGAAATAGCAGAGACCGTTCCGAGTTGCAACTATTGTGTCGCTGCGAACAACGGTGAAGGGTAGAAGACAGCCTTCCGGAAGGAAAACAGAGGTTTTTATTTCCCCGGATTAGAGAATCCGGAGGGGTCTTGGGACTGAAACTCATAGCATTTTACATAAACTTTTAGCTTCCCTATTATGTCCTGAGTTGAACTTAATTAACATCTGAATTCATTTTGCTAGGATGAGAAGCTAGGTGTTGGGGGAAAGGGTTGATCCATCTTCGATGGAGATGATGATTTTTATCTACTGAGCAAAAACAATAATAATTCAATAAATAGTAGTAGCCCTGTTTTTAGGAGTGACCTCGTGGTCTGGGGATACTGAGACCCAGCCATGAGCTCACTATTTTGCATGTAATTAAGTTAATTTGAGCGTTCTGGTCGAAGCCGGAGAACAGTAACGTTTTGGTCGACCCGATGTTGGAAAGACCACCAAAAGAACTGGCTTTGGTAGAGACGGTTAAAAGCATGTAAAACTCTGTTTAGACGTTGGCCATTCGTCTTAGGACCTAATTTTATTTTCAATTCAATAGTTAAAATGTTTAATAAAATAAAACTATTATTTTAATTTTAATAGGCCTAAACAGCCGGGACGGAAGGGTAGTTCGGAACGCGGAAGCCTTGCGGATTACCGTGAATAGCTTTTTAACCTAGTTAAGACCGAAAATTCACGAACCAGGAAGGGTTGGGGAACGGCCATCCCCTCGTTCCCTGAGAGGTTTGTGACCAAAAACACTTAAAGATATATATAAAATCAAACAAAATGTAGTAAAGTACCCAAGAAAAACAAAAAACATTTAAAAAACCAAAAAAACCAAAAACAGTAAAAAAAAAAAGTAAAAAATCAGTGGAAATCATCCCCCAGACAAGATGTGATCCGACCCTCCCGTTTGTTGTTGATAGATATATTGTTGTTACAGGCATTTATATCAGTCAGGATTGTTACGATCATTTTGTAGCCCGTTTATGAGGCTTGTACTGTAGGGTTGTTTGAGTATTTAAGCACGTTAATGCTAACTTGCGCTCAATCCGGAAGGGTCTGCTGATTTGCGCTCAATCCGGAGGGGTCTTGAGAGAAGACTGATCCGGCAAGCAGTACAAGGAGCGACAAGAAGGGGCTCAACGACAACAACAATCGACTGTTGGGTATCGTTAACAAGTTTTGTATCCCTTTTGGTACAAAAATTAAGATAGTAATCTGTGGGGGGCTCGAAAGTGCTGCACTGTAGTGACCCTTCACCGAACTGCGAATATCTGAGTTAAGCACTCTAATTCGGATATTGGACAAACCCGGAGGTGTATAGTATTACTAATATTATTAATTATGTAGCCCATATTAATACTTCTATATCGTTTTTCAGTAAAAGAACAAAGAAAAAGACCGGTTTTTAGGGTCAAAGTAGCGATATTTTGATCCCCCCACAAATCGGGATTTTTGACATATCAATATTTTTTGAAACGGAAAAAAGCGCTAAATTAGTGCGTTACATCGTAATTGCACTACTATAGTAGGTAGAACCAGTTAAGTTTAGTTCGGAAGTGGTTGGAACTATTTTGGTACCAAAAACCGAATTTTCGTGATTTTTGAGAAAACGGAACACTATAAATTCAGAAAATTTTTTGAAAGTTTTGAGTTAGGACAGTGAAAATAGTTGTTCGGACAACTTCCGCTAGTGAATCTACAGATTATAAAACCCGCTTCTCGAAAGCCTTCCGGGTTACAGAGAGATCGAACTTAACGTGTTTGATTCAGTGGATTCATCAATCCGGACGGGTCCAGGTAGCATAGTTTTTCGCAAATTTTTTCATTTAAAACGTTTTAGATCGAGTCTTTTGCATTGAACTAGAAGAGTATAGGCCTTCTGAGCTCGGATCAATAATTTTTAGGTCGAAAAAAAAATTGCGGAAAAAGTTAGGCGGAACTTATAAGAGAGAAATTTCTTGACTTTGGAAAAAAGACATTTTGGTTAATAACTTTGGAACTACTTGACAGATCCAGTTGATCTTGGTACCAATAGATCAGAAATTAGCTTAACTTACTGATAGGAACAAAAAGGAACAAAAATTTTTTGGAAAAAAAGGCGTGAAAATTTTTTGAGATTGTTTTTAGCAAATTCACCTTCACGTTTTATAATTTTTTTTGGAAAGCCCTTAAACCCCTACCAAAGGGTAGAAACGGTTGGATAAGGCAATTTTACGCTGTTCTAGAAGAATAGGGAAGGAATAGGGAAGTCCATTCTGGCTAAGTAAAACCCTAGCTGGGTCTCGGATCCTCAGACTTGTAACATTCGACCAGAATGGACAAAAATTCAGATGCAGCAATTTCGAGTTTTTAGCAGCGAACCTTCCTAATTGGCGGTTTTGAAGGAATAAGAGCGTTATTCGGACGATTGGACAAATCGTGAAGGCTGAAGGATTCGGAAATTCCTAAATTTTAAAAATTCGAATTGATGACGTAATAGTTCTAAGAAACGTCAAAAACAGCCATTTTGGAGAAAAACCAAAATATAGACACAACGACAACAACAGTAGTTGCGACGATAACAACGAAAAAAAACTTAGAATCCGAATTAGAGAAGAGCAGAAATAGCAGAGACCGTTCCGAGTTGCAACTATTGTGTCGCTGCGAACAACGGTGAAGGGTAGAAGACAGCCTTCCGGAAGGAAAACAGAGGTTTTTATTTCCCCGGATTAGAGAATCCGGAGGGGTCTTGGGACTGAAACTCATAGCATTTTACATAAACTTTTAGCTTCCCTATTATGTCCTGAGTTGAACTTAATTAACATCTGAATTCATTTTGCTAGGATGAGAAGCTAGGTGTTGGGGGAAAGGGTTGATCCATCTTCGATGGAGATGATGATTTTTATCTACTGAGCAAAAACAATAATAATTCAATAAATAGTAGTAGCCCTGTTTTTAGGAGTGACCTCGTGGTCTGGGGATACTGAGACCCAGCCATGAGCTCACTATTTTGCATGTAATTAAGTTAATTTGAGCGTTCTGGTCGAAGCCGGAGAACAGTAACGTTTTGGTCGACCCGATGTTGGAAAGACCACCAAAAGAACTGGCTTTGGTAGAGACGGTTAAAAGCATGTAAAACTCTGTTTAGACGTTGGCCATTCGTCTTAGGACCTAATTTTATTTTCAATTCAATAGTTAAAATGTTTAATAAAATAAAACTATTATTTTAATTTTAATAGGCCTAAACAGCCGGGACGGAAGGGTAGTTCGGAACGCGGAAGCCTTGCGGATTACCGTGAATAGCTTTTTAACCTAGTTAAGACCGAAAATTCACGAACCAGGAAGGGTTGGGGAACGGCCATCCCCTCGTTCCCTGAGAGGTTTGTGACCAAAAACACTTAAAGATATATATAAAATCAAACAAAATGTAGTAAAGTACCCAAGAAAAACAAAAAACATTTAAAAAACCAAAAAACCAAAAACAGTAAAAAAAAAAAGTAAAAAATCAGGGGAAATCATCCCCCAGACAAGATGTGATCCGACCCTCCCGTTTGTTGTTGATAGATATATTGTTGTTACAGGCATTTATATCAGTCAGGATTGTTACGATCATTTTGTAGCCCGTTTATGAGGCTTGTACTGTAGGGTTGTTTGAGTATTTAAGCACGTTAATGCTAACTTGCGCTCAATCCGGAAGGGTCTGCTGATTTGCGCTCAATCCGGAGGGGTCTTGAGAGAAGACTGATCCGGCAAGCAGTACAAGGAGCGACAAGAAGGGGCTCAACGACAACAACAATCGACTGTTGGGTATCGTTAACAAGTTTTGTATCCCTTTTGGTACAAAAATTAAGATAGTAATCTGTGGGGGGCTCGAAAGTGCTGCACTGTAGTGACCCTTCACCGAACTGCGAATATCTGAGTTAAGCACTCTAATTCGGATATTGGACAAACCCGGAGGTGTATAGTATTACTAATATTATTAATTATGTAGCCCATATTAATACTTCTATATCGTTTTTCAGTAAAAGAACAAAGAAAAAGACCGGTTTTTAGGGTCAAAGTAGCGATATTTTGATCCCCCCACAAATCGGGATTTTTGACATATCAATATTTTTTGAAACGGAAAAAAGCGCTAAATTAGTGCGTTACATCGTAATTGCACTACTAT